CACAGGAAGGAACCACGTGGATGCACTCCTTAAAAGTACGACTGCTATCCTTGCCTTTTTGGCTGTGGACTATAATATTTTTAATACCATATTTACAGATGTTCTTGTTCCTCTATTCCTGTACAAGAGCTGACCCCAAAACTGTTGGGTATTGCATCATTCCTATCTGCTTGGCTGTTATTTGCAATCGCCATCAAACATTTGTGAAGGCCTCTAATCAAATCAGTAGATTACAACTGATTGACACTTAGCTCAGTTTCTAGTTTCTGTAGCTGTTTTGAAGCAATTGCATATGCCTGATCTAATCGCAAGACTGAAGTTCTGAGTGAAGGCTGGAAAGACCCTTTTCTTTCATACTGTTAAGCAATGAAGAGAGTGACTGTTTTCTATTTAAAAAAAAATAACTACAGAGGTTTTTAAATATGGGTCTATTGGGATGGCCAGAGTGGGACACCCTATGTGACACTTGATGGAAGTATTCCTCGTTTTGCCTTAATGATGCAAAATTGCAACACTCCATCTGAAACGTCCTGTGGGGAACTAAGTTTCTGGTCTATGACTTTACTCCTCTCAGCAAAAAAGTGATTTTCCCTTGGAGTAAAATCAATGAAAAGATACTTCTTTTGTGGTAAATGTAAAAGAAACAAAATCAGAATATGATTATAAAAGCTGCACTTAACACAATCACAATTCTTTTATTTTTTTTTTAAGTAATAGCTACATCAGTGCTGGTTTTTTATGATTTTTTTTAATAAGTCTAGATATAAATACAAGAAGCAAAGAATAAAGTTTGTGCAAACCTTTGAAGGGAAAAAGGTGCTTTTTTTGTTTTTCCTGTGGTAGCAGACTTTTTTCAGTCACCACAACAATGCCATGTTGTAGTAGGTAGGCAGTGAGGATTGGCATAGGCCTGAAGTTTGGTGCTTTAATCTCTTTTCCTATGATGTCAAAACCAGCTTATGCTGATACTTGCTGTAGTCTGCGCAAAACTTCATTTGTATTTCTTTCTCCTGTCTATAGAAATCTCCTTTGATAAAATTGCAAGTGATTGGAATTTACTACCATACTAATTTCACTCCAGACATGGTGGAAAACTCTGTTCTGGGAGCACTGATGTACTAGGAAAAACTGAATTTGGGAAGGGTAGCTGGTTTTAGGTTGTGAGGGTGCTACAAACAGGTTGTAGGACAGGTAATCATATTTTTTTCAGAAATTTGAAGAAATGAGACCTCATTCTCGCAGGGAATGCAGATTGCTTCAGTCATACTGAAGTTTCACTGAGATTTCTTACCATAGTTTCAAACTCTATTTTTCAGTGCTATTTTGGCAGAGCATTTGATTGTAACTACTGGATTGTGTATTTTGAACAATCTTGAACCTGTTCTTCTTGTCCGTATTTGTTTCCTCTTAGAATAACTAAATTTTTGAGTCAGCTGTGATAGAAGTAAACTTCCAAATGTGAAAACAGTGCAAAACATGCTCTTCAAAACCAGTAGGTGCAGAACAATTATGAACTAAACTCCTCAACTATAATTTCAGTTCTATGTGATTGTCTGTACCTAATCATGACAAGTGCTAATCCATTTCTGACTAAGGGAACCCTGGAGGGTAATACCAGCCTTCTCTTACTTTGGAAAGAGAACACTATTTTCAGTGTTGCAGTGTTTAAGCATGGCAGTTACACCACCTTAAACTTTGTTTGCATTTGGAGGTATTTTGAGACACTGGTTTCAAACCCCAGCATTGGTGCTAGGACCTGAAAACAATGTAGCCTTTACAAGAAGGTTTTAAGTTCTAAGTGCAATATGAAAAGGAGGAAGCTGCCATCTTAGTATGATGAAGTAAGAGTAACCTCTGACTTGTAGTATCTTTGGGAGTCAGAGCTTTTAAGTTGTGTTGTTTTCCTAACTTTAAAAATTACCATCCTATTTATCTATAAAATAAAAACTTTTCAATGTTTATAAACAGAAGTCTGTTAATGCCCATAGATACCAGTGGCTTTACTTTTTGTTGTTGCTTATGTTTGTTGCAAGATAGCAGTGCTGACAGTCAGCTGCTGTAGCTTACTCTTCTGTTCTTCCCTCAGTGTGTATGTTCAGTTGATCTTTTTTTCACTGGCTTTTTATGATCTCTGCCCTAATTACTTGTCTGTAGCGTGGGGGTAGCTGGATGAAACTGAATCCTTTTGTCTTTTTTCTACCTTTGTGTGACAAGGAGGTGCCACTGGCTGGACTATGTTTTTAACTCGATGCTGTAAGTTTTAAACTCAGCAGTTGTCTTAAGAACAATGTAAGAGGAAGCATCAAAAATAGAAAATGATAGGAAGAAGTGCCTAAGTTTCTGTTGTGCAAGCACATGGCCTTCAGTAAATTCGTCAGTGTGCCTCGTGATGAGCCAAGCTGGCTGGATGTGGAGCATGTGCTGGCTGCAGGGTGGCTTACAGAACAGAGGCTTGTGTTTGTAGACTTTCCCATTAGAAGCCTGGTTTTGGATTAAAGCAGCTGACAAGCATGAGCTTTACAACTAATTACAGAATTACAGTCTTATTCTAGCAAATGCTATGTCTAAGGATTTGAGTTTGAGGTGTAAAGCAGTAATGGAGAGACTTGGTATAACCTGTCAACCTGGTGCATAGGAATACTGGACACTAGAAGAGGAAGGCTAGCTCTGATGGTGCTTCCAGCATTTTTGGCACCAGCAGAATATAAGCAGGTGGAGTCTCACCCACAAAGTAAAGGAAAGACTAAGATCTAATTACTGAATGGTTTTTCACTGTAGTCTTCTTTTAAAAGAAGTAGTGAAGTAACTAAGCTTGAGGGTTTGTTGCTTTAGACCAGAGGTTTTCAGTCCCTGATGTGCCAGTGGACTTTTTACACGAAGTTTCCATATAAAGACTGCAAATTCATGCTTAATGTAACATGTTGCTTTGTAGCCTCCCACGGTTCACGCTACTGTTGAAGTGTTCAGGACTGTGGCTGGGAGGGGGATGACACACTGTTCCCAGATGTAGCTCTACAAGCAGTTTCCAAAGCTGCAGAACAGAGCACGTAGAAGAGGTCTGCACTTCAAGTACAGGCTGCATGAAGGAGCTCTTTTGATACATTTATCGGGCTTTTTTTTTTTCCGTACTGTGTTTCCTTTGCCATTTTGATAAGCCACTTCCTTCAATGTCACTTCCTTTGATAAATTATCTACCCTAAAACACTTCACACATTTTATCACTTTAAGATTTTGCAGCCTGACAAGTGATGAGGATTAATTTATGTAATTTTCTCTCATCCCAGGTCCTCAGCAATTAAACCACGACAATCCTCAAGAGTTGGTCTTTTCTCCTAAGTTATGCCTCTGTCATATCTACCGACAGAATAATGGGGGTGTGAACTTCTTAAGAATATGTAAAGATGTAAAATATGTTTGCTGTGCTTCAGTTCCAACACACCCCTGCCCCTTCCAAAGAAACCCAGGCAATTTTTGTTCATAAAAATTCATTATTTATTCTGATACTTTGTCCTCCATACATAAGACTTGCTCAGTTTCTGTAATACATAAACAAACTGCCAGCAGAACATGAAGAAAGCTTTTCATACTATTAGACCAGACAGTAAATTTCTGCTAGAGAAGCCTCTTAGGCTCTGGTAAGCTCTACGGAGTGGCTATTTAGAATGTTTTATGCCTGTTCACAAAATCATGCACTGAACAAACTGGGAATTAAAGTAACATATGGGAATCATTGACAACTTTCCCCTTGCAAGAAGCATCTGTTATGGGGGGGGGGGCTTCAACCACCCAGGTATTTGTTGGAGAGATAACACAGCCCAGTGCACACAGACAAGGAAATTCCTACACATCACTGAAGATAAAATTTGGTAAAAGTGGTGGAGGAGCCAACAAGGAAGGGGGTGTTGCTAGACCTTGTACTTACAAACCAGGAAGGACGGGCTGAATGTGTAAAGGTTGGGGCAGCTTTGGCTGTAGTGATCATGAGATGCTGGAATTCAGGATCCTGCGTGGGGGAAGCAAAACGGCAAGCAGGACTACAACCCTAAACTTCTGGAGAGCTAACTTAGGCTCTTCAAGACCTACTTAGTAGAATGCTATGGGTCTAGAAGAGAAGGGAGTCGAAGAGATCAGTATTTAAGCACCACTTCCTCCAGGCCCAATTCCAGTGTACTCGCATGATGAAAAAAAACATGGAAAGGGGGCCAGGAGACCTGCACGGATGAGCAGGAGCTCCCAGTAGTCCTGCCTTTGCAGGGGGGCTGGACTAGCTGAACTCCAGAGTTCCTTCCAAGCCTAATGATGCTGTGACATTCCACATGCTGCATTATCATCATCAGAATGGATTACCTTAGCAGAGGGGTTGGGTGATGCTGATTTAAACAGGCAAGAGCAGTTATACATAATGTACTCATAGGTGTTACTCGAGTATTTATACTTTCTCCCTCTCTAAAAACTACAGCAAACAGCGTAGATAATTGTGAGTTCTGCATGGGCAGAACATTGAACTGTGTTGTTCACTTTATTTGACTTAGCAACTGAGCTTAAAATTCAGCTTGGATAAAAGATGGAAGAAAATACATAAACACAACTGCTGCATAAAAAGAAAAATAAACCCAAATATTTTGAGAACACAGGCTTAGGACAGCTGGGTTTGAATTGTGGAATGTTAGACAACTTTCAAAGTCACACTGACTTGCCTGGCTGTCACAACAACTCAAGATTTTTTGAGACCAAGATTCCCAACTCTTTCAATCCACTTTATATATGACCTTTACCAGGAAAATACTTCATTGATGGGTGACTAGAATAACCCTTTTTGGTGATAAGCAAAAATAATCTTCCACTGTAGGGCTGCTCAGGAATGGACACAGTCTTACAGGTGTTCTTTAATTCTGAATACTGTACTGGTCTTATACTGCTTTCTCTCCATACAAAGTAAAAGTTGTGCTGTACCATTTTAAGATCACGTCTGACAAAATAACTCACTCCTGATTTTACTATATAAGAGTTTATTTTAAGTCGCATGAATAAATACAATGACTTAGAAAATATCGTTAAAAACATAGCAGTCAGAAGACTTGTGAGAACAGTTTTATATTTGTCAACGGTTCTACCAGAAGTTCTTCTCAACGTAACATTGGCTCCCTGCAAGCAACACGCTGACACCAAGGTGCATCTTTTTCTTACGGTCTCCGTGTTAAAACAGTGTCGGGACCGGCATTTCACTTTCCGAACAGGGGCAGAAGCGCCGCAGGCTTCTCCCCCGGCCCTGCCCGGACACCCTCACACCCGGTGCAGCTAGAATGTCTCCCTCCAGGCCTGACCCAAGTACCAAGTGCCGTCACCATGGCTGCTGAACCCTCGTCCGCTTTTGAGGTGGATCATCGGTGTTTGCTTTCGTTTCGATACTGTTTTCTCCTTCATCATCCTCCTCCTCCTCCTCCTGCTCATCGTCGTCATCATCCTCGGCATCACCTGACAGGGTTCAACCGGGCGCGGATGAGCGGCGCGGGGCGCAGGCGGCGACCCGAAGGCAGCGGAGCCTCCACGCCTCGCTCCCGTCCGCTCCCCGCCGGCACTCACCGCGCGGCCCGCCGCCACCCGCCGCCTCTCTCTCGGCCTGCACCAGGGGCGCCAACAGCTCCACCACCCGCTCCCGCAGCTCGGCCAGGCTCTGCCGCACTCCGCGCAGCTGCCCGGCCTCGCCCTGCTCCGTCAGGCGCGGCAGCGGCACCCGCACCGACCGCGTCTCGCCGTCGCAGCCCCTCAGCTCCGCCACCAGCTCCATCGCGCTGCCCGGAAGCGCAGGCAGCCCGCGCGTCCGGCCCCGCCCCGCTCACCGGTCACGTGCTCGCGGCCGCGCACTCGCGGCTCACCGCTCTCTTTGATCGCGCGCTGCCCCCATCACGTGAGGCCCGCGGTTCCGCTTCCGCTGTGGCGCCCCCTGGTGCCTCGGCCGCGTGTTTCCCGCCTCATCTCGCCCTCGGCCTCGCGTCCCGGCGATGGAAGCGGCGGCGCCGGAGGGCGCGGAGCCAGGGAGCGGCTGCGGCGGCGGCGGGGAGGAGCCCGTGGTGTCCCTGGCGGAGGTGCTGGCTGAGAACGAGGAGCTCGAGAAGGAGGCGCGGGCCGTGCTAGGGGGCAGCGACCACGAGCGCTGCAGCTACTCCCAGGTGGGGGCGCGGTAGCGCGGGGCGGGGCTGGGGGCGGGGCCGCCCGGGGCAGGGACCCTCACCCCTCCGGGGCAGGGACCCCCCAGCGGTCTCTGTATCTCGCGTCGGTGTCGTCCCATAGGGAGCGGTGAAGAGGCAGGCGCTGTACGCTTGCAGCACCTGCACGCCGCCCGGCGGGGAGCCGGCGGGGATCTGCCTGGCCTGCAGCTACGAGTGCCACGGGACCCACCGCCTCTTCGAGCTCTACACCAAGAGGTACCGCGGAGCGGAGCGGAGCGGGCCGGGAGCGGCGGCGCGGGCCCGGGCGGGCGGCGGGAAGCGCACTGCGGCTCGAGCCCCCTCAGCCGCACGGCCCTGGGCAGCCTCCTACCGAGCCGGGTCCTCAGGGCCGGGAAGGCGAGGCGGTGTGCGCCCACCGCCTCCGGTGTCCTGCCCCTCCGGGCCTGGGGTGAGGGGTGAATTGAGCTGGCGGGGGGGTTTCACCAGGGCCACCTCCACTCTCTGGTACGCTTCGGTGAGGTAGGGCAACTCGTACATAGTATACCACTCCCAGCAAAGCTGCACTGGCAACTGAGGTCAGGTCACCAAGGTACCCACCGTCCCCTTGTCTTGGCACACCAGCCCTGTTTAAGTGAGAGCTTAGGGTGTCTGGGTAGGAGACAAGAGCTTAATCACCGTCATGGATCCAGTGTTTGGAAATGAAGCAGTTCAGGCTCCTATTCCACCAGCACAGGTGATTGTGTTTTTAAGTGTGGCAGTTGCAGCACCCAGGGTTAGCTCTGTACCATTGTGGCCTCCCAGCCAAGTGCTGCTGTCAATGGTGGTCTTAGCTGAGAGATCTGTTGAGAACACCTTGTGGGAGGGTAAGGCCACTTCCAACTGATGCTGTTGTTTAAGCACGGCAAGAATGTTTTTATGTCTTCTAAGAAACTGCTGGGAATCTTTATGAACACAAAACCTGATAGTGTTTTCTGTTAATAAACCTACCTGAAACGCTGTGCTTTTCTTTCCAGGAACTTCCGCTGTGACTGTGGAAATAGCAAGTTCAAAAACCTGCAGTGCAAGTTACTGCCAGTAAGTGCAGATAGGGGTTTTGTACATGCAGAATTGAAACGACGGTATTGGGATGTTGGTGACTTGCCTCAGCCAGTACTGACGCACACTGTGCCTCTGCTTTTCTCAGCAAGTTAAACAAGGTGGGAGTATTACAGCATAAGATAAAACTGTTGAGAGACCAAAGGGAAATGTGAGGAGAGAGGAAAGAAAACATTTGGTAATTGTCATCCATGAATGCAGCAGTTTTGCATCTATGGTTGGCATAATACCAGAAACGTGTTGTGGTGCCTGCACTAATACATCCCATTGGCTTTAAGCTGGCTTCAGGGAAAGCTTTAAGGTGTACTTTTGCTGTTGCATTAAAGAAATTCAAGCTTCTTCTGTTGCTAGAGGGACAGTTCCCTCCCCTTATTCATGGGGGCATTAGTGCTGTAATCTTTTTTGGTTGGTTGTCACCAGAACCCACTGATGGGATAGCTTTTTACTGCATTAAGCCTTCTGTGCTTTCATTTCATTGGGCATTTTGGACTTGTCAAGTAGTTGATAATACTCTGAAAAACAGCAACAGGAAGCTGCTTGGTTTGCTTGCAGCACTGCTCCCTGGATGATAACAGTCCAAATGTAGAAACGGCCAGTGGTTTTGTGTATGCCCATTTTGTTCTGGCAGAACTGGGATGGATCCAGAGCTTGTCAGCCCAGGGCTATAGTCCAGTGATCCCTACAGAGACACCTGTGATGATTTTAACACGTTACTGTTTCTAATTCGAGTCAGTGAAATAGATCATGTGGTTGTTCCTCCTCCTTCGGTTCAGTGCAAAATCAATTGTACTGCTAAGTTACCTTCAGCATCCACCTATTTACCTGTCTGACTTCATGGGTGCCAAGTGCTCACATCCCCTGTCCTGTCTTTGTCACAATAGTGGTAGAAAGTGTTTTGTAGTAACGTCATAAATGGTCACAGCTCTTTCTGGAGGGGCCAGTTGTGACTTTAGGCTGCAGCTGCATGTGGTTGTGAAGCCCTCTGGCTGCAGCTGTATTACCTGGGGGGGTTGTTTGTTCTTTTGTTAGTTTTTTTAAATGGAATTACCTGTACTTGAGTTTCATTCAGCATGTTTTGTAATTTAGATAATTCTCTCCTGTAGCATGAGGTTTGTATGACACAAATTTAGTGGAAGCTCAGTGGTAAGATTAAGCAGAGTCAGGTTTGGATCACAATATAGATGTTAAAAAAAGTGGAGGGGGAGGTGCACAATAAATCTACAGTTGTTGCTATAATGCAGCAGGTAGGCATAGCTGGTGATCAGAACTCTTACGTCATTCTGAGTTAGCAGTAGTTTAACCAACACCATAGTTGCCATTTATTACAAAGGTGAAGAGACTGGTTTTCCTTTTCAACTTCAGTATTCCCTGCGTGCCCTGTCTGCTGCTCACTGCATAGCATAGGTGTTTGGATAGTACCTTTCTTTTTGGATCTTCAAGGTGATGAGTATAATTACCGCTTCTAGGAATTAAAGTGCAACAGGAATGTTTGTTTGGGGTTTTATTTCTAGATTATGTATATTTTTCAGTCTTGTTTTTCATAGCATTGTTTACTGAGTTTTTTTTTTTCCTTCTAGGAAAAGGTCAAGGTGAATCCAGGAAATAAGTATAATGACAATTTCTATGGATTATACTGTACATGTAAAAGACCGTATCCTGATCCTGAAGATGAGGTAAGAAATACAAAAGCTGGTAGTAATCATATATACATGATATTTATGCAAAGTATTGTGGAAAGGGTCGTCACTGAGGTGTTTACAGCAAAGAACCCACTTCAAGAAATCTTACATTCCGTACTGGTCTTGGTTGTCATATATACAGTAATTATCAGGGTTTTTTTTAATGGTAAAATATGTTTATGCCTTAAAGACAGATGAGGACAAACCATCATTTGGAGAAAATGCTGCAGTTCTCTCTGCTTTCCTCTCTATAGAGGCTCCTCTATATGGAGTTCCCTTAGGGATGAGTTTCTCATTATCTTAAGAAATGTGGCAGGAGACCAGTAAACACATTACACATGTTAGGAGAAACCATAATCTGCTTCCTTGTGTCTGCAACAGTGCTCTGACAAGGCTTCTGGGATAGGGAGAGTCTGTCCTGTAGCACTGGCTTTAGCTTTCCTTTATGGTAGTCACAATACTTTTTGTCCATCTGAAGTATTAAAATATACCACAGATGCCAGCAGTGTATTAACTTTTATCAGTTCTTTTGTGAGAATGTCGTGCTCTAAAAGGAAAACAAGTTTTGTAATAATAAATGGGAATTTCCACAGTCTTGCTAAACAACAAATTACATATGCTGTTGAAGTTCAGGGAAGCAAACTGACTATTGAAGCAGTTAACTATTTATTAATGGCAGCTCCCTGTGGATAGGTGAAGAGGGAAGTGCAATTCACTTGAGCAGGCTTTGCATAATACTGTCATTTGAGGCTTGTGAAAGACTCTAGAAGTTGCTGTTAATGCTAATTATATGACCGTTCATCTAGATTCCAGATGAGATGATCCAGTGCATAGTCTGTGAAGACTGGTTCCATGGAAGGGTAAGGAAACTGCAAGTGTCAGAATTGCCAGTTGCATAGAAATAAGTTAGTGTCAGTTAAGTTTGTATGGTTATTTTAAAAGGTTTGCTTTAGTTCTCAAAGGGTTCTGGGGTATTTCTTTTCATCCTATGCAAAGGAATATTGGAAGTTTAATCTTGTGCTGCTGTCCTCTCTAGTCCAAAAAACCCTTTTTGGTTTTTTTGGAAGAGGTCTACCTCTTTGAAGGTTACTGCCGCAAATAAAGTAACAACTTTGTAACTGTTTCTTTAACTAGAAAATTCTAATCAATGCAATTGGTGAGCAAAAGATTCTTACTGAGGCACATTATTATCAAATACCCAAACAGTTATTCATGCAAAAGAATGCCTTTTAAACTGTAATTCCTTTAAGTAGCAAGGAAAAACTGTGCTGTTGGTTCATGATTACAAACTTTGGAGAAATCTTTTAAAAGCAGCTCAGCACTTCAGTGAGTGCCCTACTTAACGTGTGAGCATTGAGGATTCAGCCTTACGCCTTGAAGGGCACAAGTGAAGTTCTGTGTTTGAAGTTGCAGGATCAAAGAATTAAAAAAAAAAAAAAGAAAAGATGATTGGCTTCAATTATGGGTTCTGTAGTTAAACTGTAGGATTCTTTTGTGTAAATGTGTGTATGGTGAATGTGATGCTGTTCACTGTGAGCCTTGGAGAACGCTTGTCAAAAGAAAGTCACTAAGCACTTTTAATTGCCTAAATATTTCTCACCAGTTTATGGAGAGCTTTGGGACCTAATTCTTCCCAACTGCATTACATGACCAACATGAAGACTTAAAATCTCTTGCACATAAGGGAGCAATCATAAAAAGTTATTTAAGAGTTCACATGTGCAGCATGCAAGAGGTATCTTCACCTATCCTGTGTTTTGGACAGTGTAGAAGAATATTGTTTAGAAATGAGATTTCTGAATGTGTAGAAGGCATAAAAGAGCGTAGACAAAGACATAATTATTTCAGTTTTTCCTTGGAATTTTTATCATCTCTTTTCAGTCTTTATACTGGTAATTGTTGAAGAGTTAGCAGGAGTGTATGACTGTGGTGAAACTGTGACAGCAGTTGATGTTGTACTTCCTCTGAGTCTAGAATTGAGTGTTAATTTGCAGCAAATGTTTCACTGCTGCATCCTTTTCTCATTTTGACAGCATCTTGGTGCAATTCCCCCTGAAAGCGGAGACTTCCATGAAATGGTATGCCAAGCCTGCATGAATCACTGCCATTTCCTCTGGGCTTATGCGTCACAGTTAGCAGGTAAAGAAAATTGAGATACCCGAGCCAATACTTGGTTAGCATGTATTTGTCGTATGTGATTGATTAATAACTTAATACTGCTTAAGTGGTCAGAGAAATTATACTCGATATATTGGACAGTCACCTTCAGCACTGGAACATGCAGGACTCCACAGACTGTTCTGTATTTCTCATTCTTAAATCTTAGTTCTGTGGTGCTCACTCATTTATTTTATCAAAGAAGTGCTAGCACATAGATAGCTGAAGATTTAGTACTTGTCTTAGTGAACTTGATTTTTAAACTGGATCAAAGAATTGAAGAGTCATCCTAAGGGGAGCAGTGAGACAAACAGCTGAGCATAAGAGGCTCTGAGCAGCAAAGAATGACTGACAAGTGACCTGGAATGAATGTGTAAAACCTTAATCTGGGTAGAGCTGGGGCTGTGCTCAGGACTGGTTGCCTGCAGGCCTCTGTCTGCTGTGTGGTTTCTGCAGGATCAGAAGGGTAGATGACGTGATTTCTGTGGAAAGAGCTGGTTTCACATGGTCTGCTAAACGTTGCTTATACCGACTGATAACTGATCTCTTATGTGCCAGAAATTTTGATGTCAGTTTTAAGGATTCCAGGATGGCCTACCTGGAGTTCTGTTCCCTCTAACGTAAATATAGTACAGAATGGGGATTTTGGTTTGTTTGAATTTTTCTGTTTCTAACCAGCTATATCACAGGGCACACATTTGAATTGCCATCAAAAGAAAAACTTGTTTTAAACAAGGAAGGAATTGGTGTAGTTCATCTGTTGTGAAGTTTTTGAGGTGTGTGTCTGGAGGAAATGAAGGACTCTGACACAAACTCAGCAAAATATATGTGACAACTACTGAATCGGCAATAGCTATCAAGGGGCATCAAGACAGACAAGCATCTTAATACAGAGCTATCTCAAATTGTCCCTCTCCTACAGCACAGATTTTGTGAAGCATTTTAGAATAAGAGTCCAAGAGGTGAAGAGAACTAGTGAAAGAGGGAGCGGTTTCTTTGTCTGCCTAGGTCACTGTGTCTTTGGGCAGCTGTAGAGTACATCCAGGACCCTTCAGTGTATGAGCTGATCTAGGTGCTCTTTGACACTGCAGTGTAAAGCAGAAAGAACGTCTGTGATAGCCAGTATGTTGTCTGGCACAGCATTCTCACTTACATGGGTATGTATCTTCCAGTTCCTCCTTTGACCAAAGTGAACTCCCTTGAAGGTGAAGGGCTTTTCCTGAAAGTTAAGGAAAGTGAAGAGCAGAAAAAAGAAGTAAAAAAAGAAAGTGGAGTGGAACAGCAGGAAATGAAGGAAGAAAAGCAAACGGAACAGTTTAACGAGCCTTCCACTAGCTTTGGGTCTGCCTGTCCAGAGGTAAAATGTACCTTTTTCTCCTGTCCTGTTCATTTTCATACTGATGGTAGCTGAGGCAAAGCCCACTTCCTTCTGTATAGGTTCAGTGAACAGCTAAAAGCTTTCAGTCTGTCTCCATGTTCCTTTCCAGTCACTGACACTTGAAACGTGTGGTCTCTGTGGAGCACAGCGTAGGCTGTGGAACACCACTGTAGAAATGGCTGACAGGGGCATAGTGTCCGTTTGCCAGTAGGTCAGATCCATCCCTTCCTGTCAGTCACCTGGCCTTTACACTGAGGCACTTGCTGAGTTTGTTCTAATACAGGGATATTATGCTTTGTAGCTGAGTTTGCATGATAGTCCGGCTCTGATTTTTTTAAACATTTATGGCTATTGCAGTAAATTTCTGCAGAGATTTCCAGTGGAAACTGGTAAAACCACATCAGAATCCTCATGGGGATGAAATGGTAACGTAGGTTGTTTAGAAAAATAAATGTCTGAGACAAAAGGAGAATCTCGCATAAGGAAAACCACATGTTGGAAAGAATGGAGTGTACTGGAAGTGATAGTAGAGAGCACTAAAACCCCATTTTAATTCAGGTGGCTACTAAGAGCGAGGAGCCAGTCTGCAAGCTGAAGGAGCTCCAGAGCAAGCCATTTCTAAAAAAAGATAGTGCCACCTTTTGGCCACTGAACTGGAGAAGCAAACTGTGCACCTGTGAAGACTGCTCAGTACGTATCCTCTCTGCGTTACCGTCACTGGCGCGGGGGAGGCAGGGAGGACCTCCGAGGGGGGCTTTATCTACAAGAGAAGCTTGTAGAAAATAATCTGTGTCCCCTCCATCCCACATAAAGAAACACACTGAATCTGTCAGAATTAATACAGCATGAATGAGCTTCTAACTGTTTCTGTGTTCTTTGCTGCTTAAATCCAGTATTGCTTTGGAAATTGTGATGGAGAGATGCCTGAAATGCTGGATACAAAATTTACATTATTTTTATTGTTATTATTTGTGATACTAACCACAGAAAGGATTAGGGAGAGCATCTCCATCTCAGACTTTTTGTAACATATACATAATTTTTACTTTATTCTCCAGAAAATGTATTCAGAGCTTGAAGTGCAGTTCCTGACAGATGAATGTGATACTGTCTTGGCTTACGAAAATAAAGGTACCAGTGACCAGGAAACAGAAAGGAGAGATCCTTTAATGGACACCCTTAACAGCATGAACAGAGTTCAGCAAGTAGAACTCATCTGTGGTAAATACAACTTCATTTTTAGAATCTGCCTTGAAACTTTAACTGAACAGGTTCCCCTAAGGATTAGTATTGGGTCTTGCAGTGTGGTGTCAAGCTGGTTTTGAAGTAACGTGTAGAAGACTGTATGACAGATGGCACTTCAGTCAGGATTCCTCTAGAGACATCTGTTCTCTCTGGCCTGTTGTTACAACTTTAACTTACATTGAGGAGCTAGTTGGTATGGGAACTTTTCCCCTATTTAACATTTTTAGATACTGTGTCAATAGTAATTTCTTGTAACATGAATATTTAAACATTAATTTACATCTCTGCTCTCTGGCTTATTTAACTTGCCCTGTTCTGTTGTTTGGCAATCTCCTGTTGTCTGGGGGCGTGCCAGGCAGTGTGCCACTGGGGCGCAGTGTGCTCCCTGGCAGCTCTGCCCAGAGTATATTGACAAGGCAGTGCTGAGGTCCTTTATAAGTAGAGCAGTTTCCCTCTTCTGAGTGAGGAGTTTGCACTCTGGCAAGGGTAGTTGTTCAGTTCTGATTTACGGGCGAGGGCTTCCCACCACAACCCACATGTGCTTTCGCTGTGGGAAGCTGGGAGCAGGAGCAGTCTTGATTGATTGGACTGATTCACTCAGTGAACTTGTGCACGTTTCTCTGAAGACCAACCTGAACGGGAGCTCAGAATGCATGGGCTGGCCTGATAAATCATTAGGCTTCTCGTATTTATCTGGACTTGCCTTTCTTATTGTTCATAATCCAGGTCAAACTTGAGTTGTCTCAAGTAAATGTAATAAATGACAAGAAGAACAAAGTCTTCTTGAGCCAGTGTTAAACTAAAGCTGGGCATCTTCTTGTTTTTAATTTCCCTTGCCTTTGCTCCTCCATCCAGAATACAATGATTTGAAGACGGAACTGACAGACTATCTCAGGAGATTCGCCAATGAGGGAACGGTAAGACACAGCTTGCAGGGTTTGCTTGCCAGAACCTGTGCTGTAGTACTGTTGTGGGGTGGGTGCTGCGTACTAGGATACTGTAAGAGTTTTTTCCTGTCTGTTGGAGTAGCTGGCACTGCAATAGAAACAAGAAATCCCTGATTCCGTGCGAATTTACAAGTTGCATTTCCTTAAAGACATTATAACAGAAATCTGTCTAAGAAATACCGAGAGCACTTCTTAATTTAAATGAAACTTGTGTTGCTCTACGAAAAGCATTCAGGAAAAAAGCTCTTAACCTTTATGTTTTTTCTTAGGTTGAATTTAAACCCTTAGAAGAATAAGGACTGACTAAATACTGGCAAACAGCCTTCTCAGTTGTTTTCCTGGAGGAGTTTGCATGCTGTTATTAACCAGCACATGCATTTTGTTGGCTTATTTGCTGAATTGCCATTCTTAGTTACATTGTTCTGAGCCTGAAAGTGAGCTCCTAAAAAGCTTGCTTTGTGTCAGTTTTTCTGGCAATAAAAGCAAGTGGTCAAAGCCACGCTCAGGAGCTTTGCTCCGTGTGCTTGCTCTGCCTTTGGGGAGCTTGTTCCTCTGTATTCTCTTACCGTGGAATTTGGACATTACTAGCCTTCTTTGGGTAGAACAGGAAAGCTGCTTTGCAAGTTGTAACAGAGGGGATTTGGGATACCGGCTTTTATGCATGTGGATGTAGGGGGGGAAATGGATCATTGTAATTGAATCCGTGTAGCACAACTTGGGTTTCATGCTGCTTCCCGTAGGTGGTTAAAAGAGAAGACATTCAGCACTTCTTTGAAGAGTTTCAGTCACGGAAAAGACAACGGACTAACAGGATGCAGTACTACTGTAGTTAGACTGAGAGGGTTCGGGTCTGAAAGGACAACTGGGCAAACAATATTCATTGGCAAACAGCAGCAGCATCTCCAGTATTTGACTTCTCATCAAAATCCTACTGTCCAGGAAATGTCTTCATTTTGTCTCATACTTCCTTTATTTGTAGCAAGTAAAGCGTGATCCTAACAGGTACATTATAGCATTTATAGGGATTTCAGAGCCCTGATGGACTTTGCATTCCTGTGAAAGCTGACTGTGTCCTTCTAGGGTAGGTGGCTTGTTCCAGGAACAACATCCCACTGTTCATTCCCTTCTGCCTTTCACTTGTTTTACTGCTAGTGCCTATTGCTGTGCATGGTACTAAACCCTGGTGGTGTCTGCCTGCCCTCCTTCTGTGCAGTGCAGGGCAGATGCTTTCACTGTGCTTTGCAAGACTGGAGTGCTTTTCTAACATGCTTTAAATGGCTCTGTATCATCTCTCCAGATGTAGTAACTCTATCCAAGTGTCCCTGCACAAAGGAAGTGTCTGTTCACTACGCAGTTCCCTGAAGAGCAGAGAAGGGAACCCTGTTACACCCTATTACAGCTGCGGGGTGAAATTGCATTCTAACACAGTTTGGGTTTAAGGGACCTTAAAGGTCATTTAGTTCTAAACCCCTGCCATGGACAGCAACACCTTCCACTAAACCAGGTTGCTCAAAGCCCTGTCCAACCTGGCACTGAACACTGCCAGGCATGGGACCTACCCAGCACTGCTGCTCAGGCTTGCTCTCTGCTGCAGAGGTGCTCCCAAGGCAGGTGAAAGGTGAGAAATCACAGGTTAGGCTCGATGCAACAAAATGCTGTCTGCTCTTATAAATCCAGAAAATTTGTTTCTAATATTGTGCAGTGATGTTTGACACGCAGAAAGGACTGGCACATGAACGTTATTGACACGGTAGACTGTAAACAGTCTCTAGGAAGAGGTACCAAATTACACATTGGGAGGGGGTTGTTTGAGGACTTAAAATGTGCTTTCATTTTAAAAACTCACCTATTGCCCATTATGCCACCTCGTAAATGGCTGCAGTGACACTGCAGCATCCTGACATTTTGCTACAGTATAAATTGTGTGATCTTTTTATATCACTGTGATACTCCTGGAACAGATGTTTCACTGACTTTTAAGAATCTACTTAGCTACAATTAAATAGTGACTTTTTGTAAGTTTGGAGCCTAATGTAGTTTTTAGTTTCCTTTACCCACAAACCCCAAAACATACGTTAAGAAAGTTCTACTTTTTAACTCCTGCTTTATGTAGTTTGGGGATTTCCTTACCGTGGGTGCTATTCTGCTTCCATGTTAATGACCTTTGAGAGGAAAAGCCAGGCCTTTATCTATCATTTTCCCTACTAACTGTTTCTGACCACTTTATTTACAAAAGCTAGTTCTAGCCTAGGGCTGCAGTTCATGGGTTTGTTTCATGCAAAATGACTTAATTGCTTTTCAGTTTAACTTTGGGTATTGTATGTGCTTTTCTTTTGTAGCAGCTGTTAGGGAACTGTAACTGCATATATAACTACAGTATCTCAAAATTAAACAACTGTTTGATCTCTGCTGTCTTGTTTGGTTGAAGAGCTGCTCTAGTGGTGTTCCCACCCAAGCCCAGGGCAGCGCAGCAAGGAGCCCTTAGCTGTGTGGCCAAGATGCACCTCAGGGGCGGAGTCAAGCCCAGTGTTCCTAGACCTTTGCCTGGACTGGTTCAGGCGGGTGTGACACGAGGTACAGTTTTGAGCAAGATTAAAAGCCAAACAGGATGAGTTTTCCTCTGTATGGCTGTTCTCAGCATGTCCTTGATTGAAGGGCTGGGGGAAGAAAATGCTTTGAGGCAAGTGCTGTCCTGTGTGCCACCTCCTAGATGGAGGCCCTCAGTTCTGCACGCAGTGCTGTCCTCCCCCAGCATATACCAAGTCACAGCAGCTACCAAGGTGCACGTCAACAGGAGAGGGATGCCCAGTCTCAGCACACACTATACCTGAGCAGCCACAGCAATGGTGCGCAGAGGGGGGAGTTCAGTGGCAGGAAGGTTTCTAACCCGAGCATGTTATTTGCACAAAGCAGAGTTAAGAGTGGCTGCAGTGGCACACCCAGAGCAGCACCCACAGGGGGCATCTACAGTCACCGAGCCGGGTGTGCCTGAAGTGCACCTAGTTCCTCACACCTCGCCTTACCCAGCTTCCTTAACACCATTGTGCTTTCTTCACAACAGCTCCCTCCCCCCTGGGCCCCCACTGCCCCATGGTGAAGAGGTGACCTCTCTTTGGTACAGGTAGCAGGCCCAAAAGAACACTCCTGGGAAACGAACAGGGAGTCTGTAACAATTAATGTTACATTTGGCCCCTTTAGAAGTTGCTCCTAAATGTTACCTTCCTGGATGTGGGAACAGAGGTGTCAGTAATTACCATGTAAGACCATACAAGTAGTCTCTCTCCACCCCACTTCCCATCAGGACAGAAGGCAGGTGTTTTGCTGTTGTACATCACAGTGAGACTAGTCCAGGCTTCCTGTGGCTGGCTGACACACTTCTGAACTCATCATGTTCCCGAAGGAGCGAAGCGCTTGTTTCTGTTAATGGTGTAATGAGTGTTCAGCTGATGCAGGGCAAGTGCTGCTCACAAGAACACCAGGTACCTAACGAGTGGCTGGCTGCTCTGCTGAGAAAATAAACACTTCCTGGATCAAGGGCTAAGCCCCACAGCCCTGACTGCATGGAACCCTTTGCCTCTAATAGCGAACAGTCTCAGCCAACAAAGCTCTAGCCAGGACACACTGAACTATGTCACCAAGCAGCTTAATAAGCTGCTTGAAGTGGCGTGTAGCGTAGACCCTTGATGCTCAGAGCACTGTTGTGCAGTTTCTGCCCCAGAAAGAACAACAAACCTTGCCAATTTTAAGGTCCCTGCCTGCTGGAGAGCACCTACAGCTCACCTGTACTGAACCACTCCTTGCTCCAGCATCAGTCACAGCACGGCACGTTGGGATCAGCCTGGAGGCAGCTGGTGGTAACAGACCACAGGAAGAAGTCGCACAGGCACGTTCTATACAAGCCATTTATTTGAAACGCCAACTATACGTAGGATAAAGTCAGTGTTGCATGCTTCTCAGCAACAGTAGAAAAATAGAACCAGTGAAAACCTTTTTACAACTGTAATGGTACTCAAAAGAGAAATGTATTGTTTTACAATGCATCACACAAGACTCGAATTCAAGTTTGGAGGTACCTAAATAAAAATACTATATTTTTTAAAAAACACTATGTACAATTGAAGCGTAAACAAGTTTTACAAAGTACTGGTTATGCAGGTTGTAGAAAAAACACTTGCATAGGACATGAAGTCAGTTAAGAAAGTTTTCTGAGCCTTTAGCATTGAAGGCACTTGACTTTATACCAGTAACAACACAAGGACAAGAAACAAAACCGGAACGCTGCCGAAGGCCGGGCTGCCTTCTGGCAGTACAGGCAACTACAGAGACCCAACACAGCTTTACAATTTCCTCTGCTGCTGCTCCCTGCACTCAGCAGAGCTCAGCACCCCTCTACCATAGAAACAAGTAAATGTTAGAAGGAAGAAAGGTGCCTCAAACAGCACCAGTATTCTTTCCAAACCCCAGCCCTTCTCCCCCAAACCCAAACCAAAGAAACCCCCAAGACAAACATTTGGGACATCCCAGGACCAAAACTCAAGGCTTACAGGTACAGGTGGCCACAGCCTTAACTTGCAGAGATGAAACTCCTAAGAACAGGAAAAATACAACAAGAAACTGCCAATCAACATAGCAGTTATTAATACACAGCTACAGTAACTCCATGGAACAACAAAACGTTTAAAAGGAAGAATCTGTTTCAGGAATTAAGTTATTCATCCATATATTAAGGAAACAAGGAAGGGGTCAGGGAAAGGGGAATAAAGTTTTTGCATGTTGCTCACTAAATGAAAGTCTGAGCTTGCTCTTTAATAGAACAAGAAGCACAAGTCTTCCTCATGCAAGAAAACTTAATGTTCATACCTCTATTCTCAAGCAAAATTAGTCAGTAATCCGTTATTCCATCAAATTTACAGGAGGAAAAGATGTTAACTTCCAGCCTAACCAGAAAGTGCTTCATGTAAACAAGGAGCTTCTGCACCAAAGTTTCAGTACACAGAGAACAAGTAATAGCAGGTAGTACAGGTACGTGTGTTCTGTGAGCGAGATGCAGTACAAACACTAGCTTCTAAATAACGCTTCCATGAAGAATGAAGATGGGCTCCCTCCCTCTGCATGTCCAACTAAGCAGGCAATCCTACACTGGAGTACAAGAATACACTTGCAGCAATTGGACAAATCCTTCTTTTCCACTTTGAATCAGCTGCCATCTTCTTCCCAACTCAAAATACACAAGTGAAAACACAGATTGTCTACATGGCCTGATTGTCTCTGTGGCCTCAGAAGGACTTGTCTTTTATTTCACAACACCTTATTCTCCTTTTAATACTGTCAGCTTCTGAGGCATCAGAAGCCACTGGTATTCTAAAATGCAGACATGTCCCTCCCAGAGGCAATTCTTACCAACTCATTCCAAAGCCAAAGCATTTCATGATTTCTCTCAAGCCACAACCTCAAAACTCAGCCTTCATCAGCCACATCCCCACAGATTTCAAGCTGAGAAAGCTCTGTGGATTTCAGCCCCACCTCTGCCCAGGCACACAGTGCCACATCCAACTATGGCAGCTACAACAGTTTTCTCTAAGTACATCTACCAGTTTAGGTAAAAATAAACTACTCAGAATAGGAAGTCTGCTGAGGACAGCTATGACTTTTTAGTAATTATGATACCAACATACCTCTGGCACAACTGCAGTGACTATAGGGTTTGTGTGTGATGGAAGTTAATGCTTCTAGTGCTGGCAAGGATGAGACCCAAGCGCCAGTCAGAGCTATGCAGTTGGACAGCACTGGGCTCAAATCTGCAGCAGAAACGCAGTGAACCTCATCCCGTCACCTGCAGCAGCACTGTCCCCCCACAGACACCTCCTACATTTAACCACGCTGCAGTCCCATGGATATACCACATGTTGGCAATGAGGCCAGGACCACCAGGCGTCCTGACTTTGGGCAAACCCAACAGATTGAAAAGGCTGAGAGAGGGGGGAAAATCCAACCCAACCAGAACAGAAAAAGCCCATTCCCCCCTCACCCGCCAGGCACAGCACCTGTGCATTTCAGCTATGTCCTCCTCAAACCACACACACCTCTGTGGCTCATCTCAAGACACCTCTGCAAAGCTCTCAGAGAAGGCCTGCAGGTGCATCACCAGAGACATTAGGATCTATTGGGTCAAACCCCTATTCTCATTTATTTAGAAGCTATTTGGTAGTGTGAAAATGCAGCATCCAATCTATTTCAGTAACACTGTGATGTTGTGACCAGGCCTTGCACTTGAACAGAACAGGTTAGGTTAAGAATCCGCCATCAACTACAACCAAAACCACAAGTGCAACCCCAGTTCTGTTTAACTGCAGGAAACAACCTAACCTTGAAGCAGTCTGTAGGTCAAACCTAGGTTAAAGTTTTCTACTACAGGGAAAA